CGTCGCGCTGTTCAGGTTGCCTAGCAACCATGATACTAACCGCGAGACACGTTACATACAGCTTTGTTTGACAGAAATGAAGGAGAAAAATGTTTTGTTGGTCATTCATTTTTGTCATGACATCACTTTAGTTGAGTATCTGAGGCTGAGACCACGGGACTGTAAAACATGATTGTTGGGCTTCATTTCTGTGCTGAACAGTCATTTAAGATTAGTTAGTAAATAACAATTAGTTAATGTTGTTCATGAGACTAAAGTAGAGAGAGAGAGAGAGAGAGAGAGACAGAGAGAGAGAGAGAGAGAGAGAGACAGAGAGAGAGACAGAGACACAGAGACGAGAGAGAGAGAGAGAGGAGAGAGAGACAGAGAGAGAGAGAGAGAGAGAGCATTTCAAATAATTAAAAAAAAAAAAAAGTTTCGGATTTACCTTTTGAATTTGTATGTGTTGGAGTTTGTACGTGTTTTGTCTCTAGGGCCACTAAATATACTTTTATTTATTCACTCCACATAAAATGTAATAAATAAATCATATAACACAAAAATCAACTATTCACATTTCAACTTTTAACTATTTAAATTTTCAGCTTTCTCCTTTTACAAATTTAAAGTGAAAACAACACAAAACACTGCAAACCACAACACAATTAAATATAAATTAATGTAATGATGATGGTTATGTGTCGTCTTACATAGGTATGTGAACAAAGTGTATGTCTGTGTGTTGTCTCTGTGTGTGTGTGTGTGTGTGTGTGTCAGAGTGTGACCCCATAAACGACTTCCCTAAACCTGCTGGTCTGGAAGTCCAGCAGTTCATCTAAACAAAAGGCACTTAGACTAAAACAGACAGATGTGTTTATCACCATAAAACAATAAAATAAGGTACGACCTCTCTCATGACCCCAGGATCTGTGTGTGCATGCCAGTACACTCTGGAAGGCACACAGTCTTTACAGACTGCTAAGGATCAAACCTCTATCATTATGCGATTATAAAACTAAGCATATATGAGTAAATATTTCTAAGCATAAATGACAATCATTAATATAAACCTGACACCGGCTCTAAGAGCCATTTCGTTCATGACCGACACATCACTAAGGGAAATGAACAAGAAGCTCAAAAACTAATGGCATGAAAATAATTTACCAGAACAGCTGTAAATAATCCCCAAACTAAAAATTCTAATAATAAACAAAAGGCACAGAAGCCTGGAACCATGACAGCAAAACTTAATAAAGGATTGTTTAACTTGGTTACACAGATATGTGATTACCTGAAGAATAGTTTAAAAAGAACACACGCAAACACACACATATGGAATAAGTGCAATAGTTGACTCACCAACCCACGGAACAGATGAGCCATTGCTGTCATTCAGCTTGCAGTGAATGCTGTGCTGGGACCTTTTTAAAGCCTGTTCTCACTGTGCTGGTGGCCATGGAGCCACCAATCACAGAGCATAATTTTATCACAAAACCCCATTGGTTGGGACATTCTTCATGCAAATTTTAAATATGACTTTATCTTTTTTTTATGTGTTGCATGTCATTAATTAGTATTTTTCTTCCATGTACTGACAAAGGGAAAGACCCTACAGTATAAGGAGAAGTTACTTTTTTAATACAATTTGACCACAGCTGGACTGGCCATCAGGTGTACAGGGTGCACTGAAAAAGAGAACGTGTTGGATTTACTTAATTCAGTACTGTACATTGGTTGCACACAATTTTTTTGCTTTGGGTGAAACGTAAACAACTGTGTTATATCGATCAACTTATTCATATTCATAAACCTGTTCATTTTCTGTTCATAAAACGTGATTGAAACATGTTTAGATGAAGCAAGTTAAGCTCTTGGAATATTTCAATCATTCACAATTTTGTCATTTTATTTCAACACTATTCAGTAACTTTTACCCAATTCTACTTGGTCACTTAAACACTGCATGTTGTCTTCATATTACATAATATTCAGCAAAGTCTAGATTTTGGTTAACATACAAAATTCAATGGATTTACAGGTTGCAGGAGGGCTGGGGCATAACGCAGAAGTTATAGGGTACACCCTGGTTAGGGTGCCAGTCTATCACATAAGCTGTGTCCCAAAACGTCGGCTGCATCCTCCGGAGGCCGCATTTGAAGGCCGATTGCGTCACAGCCAGTAGTGATGGGTCGGTCGCGAACGAAATGGCTCTTAGAGCCAGGTCTTTGACGTGAACGACGCGAACCGGCTCCTTATCGCGAGCCGTGGGTTGTTTTTTCTCTCCTTTCTCTCACCCTCTCTTGCACTTTTTTTCCGCTTCACTCCGCACGCGAGCCTTGTGCTTTACGCCAGGGCTCTAGAGTGCGACCAAATTTTTCAGTGGTGCGCCTAAAAAAATATATATTTTCGGGTAACAAAAAAAAAATCTCTGCAACTCTCCGTGTGGTCAACAACAGACACACATTATGCCCCTATCGTGGACTAAACCAATCAGAGATAGTCAGGGGCGGGACCTCTCTGATTGGCCGTGGTCCAGTTGAAAGTGCAGGTGGAAGAGAGAGGTGAGTAGCTTGAATAAAGCGATATCAATTCATTAACGGATTCCACACAAAGACCTAAACACAGAGCGGACCTGACGCATCAGAATCAGCTTCGTCTTTCTCGGCTTTCTCACCCGACGGCCCGAACACGGACACGCTGTCGGAGCTTAGCGATTCTGATGCTTCGGGTCCGCTCTGTGTTTACATCTTTTTTGCGCTAGAATAAAATACAAACAAACACTGAAACTAATGAAAAATTACACATGATATATGAACTGTGGAAACTAACTGAACAATAAAACTCAGAATAAACAAATTCAAACATTATATGAAAGGTATAAACTGATTTGCATCTTATTGATTTGCAGGCTCACTTTGCTCCAGGACTTGACGACTGGCCCAACCCGTACAGTCTTTGTCTCTTAATACTGAATGTTGAAAACTGATACTCATGGACACCTTATTTCAGCCTCTTTACTTTGCATAACAGACCCAAAGCATTACATTAACATGATGTTGTCTAGTGGACCAGCACGTCCATTACATGTTTTGCCGTTATTGCTGTTAGCCGAGTTATTCATCTTAGAGCAGTTTGTGTGTGTTTAACAACTCCACAACATTAATAGATGATTCCTTTGCTCTAAACTGAAGATTAGTTTATTTTGGGTTTTGCACATTTTGTTTCTGAATAATTGTTTGATTTGTAAATTCTTATTTCTGTGTTATGTAGAGAAATGACACTCTACATATTTGAAAACACAGACTTTGACCATCTGCATCCACTGAGGAAAACACAGCACTACAAGCACAAAAGTAGATTTGGTGGAAATTTCAAACAGGACTGCCTCAGTGTGTGACTGTGTTGACTATAGCTAAGGACATTAGTGCTAAGTCATGATTTTCTCAGGATGTTGCTGCTCGCTGACTTCAGCTTACAACAAATTCCACTTCTGCTCACCCAGCATTTGTTTCATGTAAAGTACATTTATGCTTTTGATCTGTATTTACCAGTAATGTTTTTAATTGAATGTCCTCCTCTTCTGTATATGTGGATCAGTGGACCACATCCACAAATGGCAAATCTGTGAGGAACAGAGACAGTCAGCCATCAGTCAGTCACAAGTTTTTCTTTTTAACGAAAAAAAAAAAAAAATAAATCAGTTGATTTCAACATGCCACAGAAGACACTCCACCACACTAATACAGGGACCCATAATGAGACATCAGTCCTCTGAGATCTGAGAGGAGACTGTTTCTCATAGTTTACTTCATACAAACAAAGTTTATCTGGACATACTGACATACAAAAAGCTTAACAAACACCACAAACTGACAACTGACCACAGAGCATATAATTAAAGTCTTTTTGTTGGCTCTGTTGGGCATTTATAAAGAGACCATGCCTGGTAAGATAACGCAACATTTATGCAGCACTGTTAGCGAAGCCATGCTGAAACCAAACCCAAATTTCATTGCAAAGTGTTTATGACAAAGGATTTAGCTGATGCTGCGA